TGCTGGATCAGAGCAGGGATGTGGTTCTCCTGGAGCCACTGTGAAGCACTCCAGATGTGACTCACAGTCAAAGGCCTCTGCAGCTTGTAATGAGATGATAACTGCAATAATTCACATCAGCTGGTTATGTTTGTGTACATCCTGAGTCTAGACGTTAACTGAGGTCTGGGCCATTAAAAAAGGTTCCTAACGTGAAATCTGTGAGAATGCACGAGGTCAAAGGTCACCGTGTGAAGCTGAGCAAAGTTACAGACGATAAGAATTTTTAAAAAGGAATCCACAGTTGCAAAAGAGCTCTGTAGCGCTTTTTGGGACGTGTCTGGGCGTGAATGAACAGCGTCGTGTCAGCTGACAGTTACTCAGCATGGTATGCAGGCTGGAGACACTGGCCAATCAGCAGAGAGGGACTTATGATGTAACTATAGATTGCAGTCAGACAGAAATACATGCAAATGAGCCCATGTAACAGCACCAATGGTTTACAGTCAGACAGTCCAGTGACGGTGAATCACTGCGCTGCAGTCATCACAACATCATTAGGTGTGTTTTGCATTGGAAGAAGGCAGCACGCACAGTGAAGCGCTGGCAGCTTTTCACATTTACGCTGTAATATTAGTATTTGAAATTAGCTTCAGGTATTTCTAGTGGCTGTGAAAGAACTTGAGCCAACACATCGCACTGTTACAGAAATCATAACACTTTTTCAGGTAAGCAGGGATGCAGGACTCAGAGTGTGCAGCGAGTCGCAGGTCTGCACTGAGCTGTGTCAGAGTGAATGTGGCGGCGCTCTGTTCATGGATTCATAAAGCTTTGCTGCATCAGCTACAAATGAACGAAGTAAATTCAAAGTGTGTGATTCAGGCGCTGATTATAAATGCTCTCTCCACTGATATTTTGTTTCTTTGACAAACAGATAAAATCTGTGTCAAGACAAAAGTTGCCGGTGCACACAGACACCCAACTAAGCTGTAATTGGTTGTTGCAGACCTTTGAAAACACTACAGGCTGATATTAAGTAGCTCCTTGACAGATTTGTTAGCATCGGGCATGAAATTACAGTCAGTGGCTCTTTCTCAGAACTGCTCTCCCATGAAGCTCACAATGCAACGCATTGTAGCGTAAGCAAAGACGAGAGCGGCGGGGGGGGAGATGAACCACACAGAGGTGTTTTCAACCGTCAGTGTAACATCATTACAGCCCGTCTATGACACTGATGCTTCTCCCACTCCCACCTGATAAGCAACTAAACAAAGGGTCCTGTGGCAGCTTCTTCATGTTTCCACTGTAACTGAAACGTTTCAAAGTGATGACGAGAGAAACGGCACACGGACACACTAATGAACCATCATGCAAAAGCAAGCACAAAGAAATTAAATGCATGCAACACGTGCGAGCCCGTAACACATCATAACTATAACAACAGTAAATGTGGGAACCAGCACGGGTGCCCCACCTCAATGGTCTTCCTCTTGATCTTCTTCTGGTGTTCCAGGCGTTCCTTTTCTTTCTCCACAGCTCTGGTGGACTCTCTCAGTCTCTCCAGGTCCTGCTGGTACGTCTCCCTCTGCATGTCCAACTCCTCCTTCTCTTTTGCCAGTTGCTCCTGCGTAACAAGAAGTGATGCTGCAGCTTAGGCTTCGTTAACTATAAGCTCAGCAAGTTTAGTCTTCAGCAAACAGAAAGCAGCTCTTAGGTAACAGAGAGCAGCTCACCTCCGTCCTCCTGCACTCCTCCTCTCTTTGTCGTAGCCTGGCCTCGGTAGCCTCCACCTGCTGCCGGTGCCTCTCCCTCTCCTTCTCCCAGCGCTGCTGCTCCTGCCGGTGCTGCGACTGCAGCTTGTGGAGGCTGGCCAGCTCCTCTCTCTGCAAGGCCAGAGTCCGCTGCTTCTCCTGCTCCAGGAGCACGTTCCCCTTGTGGCGGCCGGGCAGGGAGGCGCGCTCCGTCAGCGAGGCCCGCTGCAGCTCGATCTGACTGTCCTGCTGCGAAACGATGGCCTGAAGAGACACACGGGGCCAGGTGAAACA